ATGGTTGGGTCACAACATGAGGAACTGTATTTAAAGGGCCAGAAGGTTGAGAACCACTTATCTAATGGAATGTAAGTAGTTGTAACAGTGCTAAGTCACTGTGAGCACCCATTAGACAGATCTTTTAGGGTTCTTTCCAACAATTCATCGAGTCTGTCTTTTTACAGTTCTTCAATCTTTTCCCTCTGTCATTATCTGTTACTTTTCATTGTTGTGGTGTTTATTTATTGTATTTTATTTTTTTTGTTAATCTTCACCCAAGGATATTTAGAGAGAGTGGAAGGGAGGGAGTGGAACAGAGAGAGAGAGAAGAGAAGCATTGATGTAAGAGAAATAAATCGACTGGTTGCCTCCTGCACCCACCCCGACCAGGGCCAGGGATTTAGCCTGCAACCAGAATTGAACCTGTGACCCTTTGGTCTGAGGGCCAACGCTCTATCCACTGAGCCAAACCGGCTAGGGTGTGGTGTTTATTTTTAATCAACCTTTATAAGGGTCTGGGGACATCTCTGAAGTTCCTATTGAGTAAAATCGATGAGCTTCATAACAAACATGTGCTGCCTAAAGCCACGGACCAGATTTCCACACTCCCATCTGCGGGCTCGATGGCTGAGTAAATATCTCTGCCTAAAGACAGCAACTGAATTCTTATTTACAGCCAGACCAAAGCAGAAAAAGAAATCCAAACCATCAATGACTGTTGTCTGATTTTTAAAAAGTTTAATAATAAAAGAACTAAATGGAATATCTAACATTTGCTGCAGGTGTTTCCTCTTTCCAAGTTAGATGAAAGCCATTTTAGGGTGGGCTGTGCTATTAAATTGATTAGCTGTCAGATGGAAATTTTTAGCAGTTTAGGCGCTGATTTAATTGTACAGACTACAGTACTTTGCCTACTAACTCATGTTTATTATTTCATGAAACTCATACAGTCATAAGAAACTTTTCATCATTGCCGTGTATTGACAGGGACTAACAACTACAGAGTATATAATTTACTGGTCTGAATTCTGTGCGAGACTAGTAACTACTTACCAGTAGTTATGCAATAATACAGTGAATGTTCCAGAAGCAGGTATATATTACTTAAAGAAATTTTGTCTCTGTCCATTTTATTCACTTTGCTCAAAGATAGAACAAAGTAAATAAATGTATTTAAAATAGGTGAAATTGGAGACAATTGTGGCATCAGGAGGGAATTTAATCCATGGAATACATACCAGGAAGTCTAAAACACTCGATAGAGGTGGGCCTCTCTGACTGCCTACATAGAGTGGGACATAAGGGAACTATAGATTTATAGTGCCAATAAACAAACACAAATCAGTTACTGAGAAGCACAACTATTGCAGTTCGAGAGACAAGAGAGAAATGTCTCTTGTTGTCCAGAGTGGTAAACAGTACCGTCAACAGCCCCTGTCGGGAAAACACATCAACAGATTTCTTAGTGCAGCCAGCTTCACTACAAGCTACTTTTGGGCATCATGCATACCAATTCATTAAAAATCATTCTAGATGCATCTGTTATGCAACCCATTGATGTTCTGATTTAATCTTGGGTTTATAGTATCTACAGATATTTTTTCTTAGTTAATCCTGATTTTTTTTTTCTCTGAACTACTGGTGAGTATTGATTAGCTACTAGTTTTAGGTTAAAAATTGAAAGTGCCACTGGGAAGTGAGCTAGATAATGGCCAGCAAGGCCAAGATTTTCTTTAAGAAATGATTTTGGATTGGCTCAAAATTGTGGCCTGTAGAACTGCAGTTCTATAAATACATGGTGAACATCAGGATCACCTGAAGGATTTTGAAAAGACAGGCTCATCTCCCAACTCTGTAGTCGTCCGGGGTTGGTGAGGTGAGGAAATCTTTATTTAAAAAAATAATAAAAATGCTACATAAATGGTTCTAGTGATCAATGAAGTTGGAGAACTACTACCATAGATTATGCTGCATTGATTTTAGCTAGAAGAAAATTTAAAACAGGTATAACCAAATACATCTAAACCATAAAAACTGTCTATTTTATGGTTAAGAGCATCTGTTTTTTAAAACTGCAAATTCCCAAAGTACTATCCATTGTAAACTATTTCTGAAATGTACACCTAGACAATTAAGGTGATTTAATGTATGGATCTCTTATTAGTAAATCAATTAAGAGTTTTGGTGTGTCTGCTGGAAATGATGACTTTGAATAGTCACTATGTATTAATAATTTTTAAAAAATCTTTATTCAGATTATTACAGATGTTCCTCTTTTTTCTCCCCGTAGCTCCCCTCCACCTGGTTCCCCCCCTTGCAATCCAGGCCTTCCTCCTCCCCCCCCTCCCCCCTGCACTGACCTTGTCCATAGGTGTAAGGTCTTTGTCCAATCTCTTCCCGCACCCCCACAACCCCTCCCCCCCCGAAAATTGTCAGTCTGCTCCCTTTCCATGCCCCTGATTCTATTACATCCATCAGTCTATTCTGTTCATCAGGTTTTTTATTCATTTGATTTTTAGGTTCACTTGTTGATAGATATGTATTTGCTGTCACTTCGTTCATAATTTTTTAATTTTACCTTTTTCTTCTTCTTCTTCTTCTTAGAGAATACCCTTCAGCATTTCATATCATACTGGTTTGGTGGTGAGGAACTCCTTTAGCTTTTTCTTGTCTGTGAAGCTCTTTATCTGACCTTCAATTCTAAATGATAGCTTTGCTGGGTAGAGTAATCTTGGTTGAAGGTTCTTGCTATTCATCACTTTGAATATTTCTTGCCACTTCCTTCTGGCCTGCATAGTTTCTGTTGAGAAATCAGCTGACAGTCATATGGGTACTCCCTTGTAGGTAACTATTTTTCTCTTGCTGCTTTTAAGATTCTCTCTTTGTCTTTTGCCCTTCACATTTTAATTATGATGTGTGTTGGTGTGGTCCTCTTTGGATTCCTCTTGTTTGGGGTTCTTTGCGCTTCCTGGACTTGTAAGTCTATTTCTTTCACCAGGTAGGGGAAGTTTTCTGTCATTATTTCTTCAAATAGGTTTTCAATATCTTGCTCTCTTTCTTCTTCTGGCACCTCCATAATTCGGATGTTGGTACTCTTGAACTTGTCCCAGAGGCTCCTTACACTATCTTCATATTTTTGAATTCTTTTTTCTTTTTGTTTTTCCGGTTGGGTGTTTTTTGCTTCTTCGTATTTCATATCTTTGACTTGATTCTTGGGATCCTCTAGTCTGCTGTTGGATCGCTGTATATTATTCTTTATTTCAGTCAGTGTATGCTTAATTTCTGATTAGTCCTTTTTCATATCCTTGAGGGTCTCACTAAATTTCTCTGAGGTTTCTAGAAGATTCTTGAGTAACCTTATAACTGTGGTTTTGAACTCTCTATCCAGTATTTTTATTTCATCCATTTCTTTCATTTGTGACTTTTTCTTTGTCTCTGCATTTTGGCTGCTTCCCTGTTTTTGTTTCTATGTACTGGGTAGCTGCTAAGTCTCCTTGAGTTGATAGATATGGCCTTGTGTGGTGGTATCCTATAGGGCCCAGGGGCTCAGCCTCCCCAGTCACCTGAGGTGGACGCTCTTGGTGCACCCCTTTGTGGGCTGTTTGCACAGTCTTGTTGTAGTTAACGCTTGATTGCTGTTGGTATCACTGGGAGGAATTGACCTCTAGGCCAGTTGGTTGTGATGACCAGTTGTGTCTACACTGGAAGATCGGTTGCGTAGGAGACACCCTTATGGGGCAGGACTTTCTTCAGTGGGGCTTTGGTGCTCACTGAGTCTGCCCCTTGAGTGTGTCTCTTATGGATGTGAAGAGTTGTAATCCAGTATGGTCTCACTCTGACCACTGGGTACACTGGCTCTTGGATCTCCAAGGAGATGCAAGGTCAGCCACTGTCTGGGGCCGCCCAGCAGTAGCTACAGAGACATCTGCAGATTCCTCCTCTTTGTATGGGGTTTGGAAGTGCCCAGATGATGCCCAGCTGTGAAGCAAGGCAGGCTGCTGCTTCTGGCCTTGGGCCTTCTTTTGGAAGCTCTGGGACTCTCTGACCCAGCTGCAGTTTGACAGGTTTTAATCAGAGGAAGGACAGGCCGTTCATATGCAAAAGCCAATGCACACAGCTTGGGTGGGCTTGCAAATTGGGTAGGGCGGGGTCTCTGGGAATCACCAGGGTGGAGCAAACAGCAGTGGCTGCCAGTCAGCCTTGCACCAGAGAGGTCCCCGGGTCTCCATGTCCCGTGCCCCCCATGCAGGAACAATGATCACTGCGAGCACCTCTGAGAGAAGCCGCCCTCGCATTCCTGCCCCGATGCCAGACAGTCCAGTTTCTCCCCATATGTGTCTGGGTCCCCAGAGTCTCGCCTGGAACGAGTTTAGAACAAGCGGGAGCTTGTATCTCCCTCCCGATTAAAAGAGCAGTACATCCAGGTGACAGCACATTCCATGCCTCCACACCTCTTACCAGTCTCAATGTGCTTTCTTCACCACTCTAGTTGTGGAACTTCCATTCAGCCAGCTTTCCTGAGGTTCTGGGTGGTCGTTGTTCTGCCTTTTAGTTGTAATTTTGATGTGGTTGTGAGAGGCAGCAAGTATAGGTGTTTACCTATGCCGCCATCTTGGTTCTCCTCCTCATTAATAATTTTTTATTCTCACCATTGTCTAATTACATTTTCCATATAAGGCTAAAATATTTCAATAATTAGATTCAATCCAGGGAGCATTTTCCCATTTTTGGACCTTAAAAAATTATAAAACATACTTCGATGCATTCTAAAGTTATCTGAGATCTCTAGAGGCACTTCAGATAATATGAAAAATGATACTCAGAGACTGATATCTTGCATACATCTTTACTTATCTGCAGTAGTCACCAGTTATAAAGAGAATCTTTAAATATGTGGTGGACCTTGTTAAAAGTAGAGCACCAAGCTTGATTTGTGTCCTAATCTAGCATTAATATTTATAACAACAGAAGAAATCTTGAGAAAGTGTCTTATGTTTACTTTTCATTGTTCCTTACAGGCATTGCTTCTATGACGGTGCCAGTGTACATTGCTGAGGTCTCACCACCCAACTTAAGAGGTCGATTAGTCACCATTAATACCCTCTTCATCACAGGAGGCCAGTTCTTTGCAAGTGTTGTTGATGGAGCCTTCAGTTATCTCCAGAAGGATGGATGGAGGTCTGTAAACAATTCTTACAGTTAATTTTCAAATAAATCATGATATTAGGGGATGGGAGGACATTGAGAAATGAGAGGAAAAAGATAACGGAGTATTTTGAATCATTATAGCGAATTTCTAAGAGGGTGGCATTCAGCAAAATTGAAAGTGGACAAGAAGATGATACTTATTTTAATGACAGATAAGGAACCTACCATTGAGAATTGATATTTACAGAGTTTTTTTTTTTTTAGCATTTAGGTGACATTTCTCACACTGTGTGTAATCTTTTGCAATATTTGTTTAAAAATGAATGCAGCAATAAATATGCATGGAGTTCTTGAATGGTATCAGTGATTATCAAGCTGTTTATGAACTGCAGATAAAGCTAACATCTTTTGGATTTAGGAGGCTACACATTCTGATTTGAGTGAAAGAAAACCCAGTCTTTAAAGCTATAAATTTAGCTATACTATGTAAAAGATGTTGATATATATACATTTAAAAGACACGAATTATTTTTTTTTCACTATTTGGTTGATTTTGAATCAAAAGAGATGAGAAAAATGTTTTTAAAACTGCTTTAAAATACATTCAAATTGAATATTGTAAAAACAAACTAATTTTAAGCTTAAAGATAGTATAGGCTCTAAATTTTTATATCATAGTATTCAAAGCAACAAATTCATGTAAGTGTTCCAGGGAGATTTTATTAAAAGGCATAATAGGCTGCACAAAATTCTCTATTTATTGAGCATCTAATCTGTATAGATCCAGGGAATAAAATATTGAACAAGTCATACTCTAATATTTATTTGCATGGTGATTACAATATTGAAATCAATTCTTTTTTAGAAAATTTTATTTGTTTTTTTGTTGTTTTATTTTATTTTATTTATTTGTTGATTTTAGAGAGAAAGAGGAAGGCTGAGGAGAGAGAGAGAGAGAGAAAGAGAGAGAGAGAGAGAGAAACATCAGTTTGCCATTCTACCTATTTATGCATTCATTGGTTGCTTCTTGTATGTGCCCTGGCCAGGGAAGGAACCTGCAACCTTTTACTGGGACGATGCTCTCACCAACTGCGCTACCCAGCCAGGGCTTGAAGTTCATTCTTAACAGTTTAAGAAAAAGAATTAAATTCATTGTGGATGTAGGGAATTAAACTTGTATGTAAGCAGCACAATAAATCATATGGCTTAGGATGAGCCATTAAAAACTTAGCCTGAAGTTTTATTAAAAGTCACCTGAGAAAACTCATTGAAGCCAATTAGGACCTATATTTGTCAGGACCATTAAAGAGAAGACACAGTTCTTAAGAAACATTAGCTCTGCCTGCCTCTGTTGCTAAACTGCTTTCTACCTTTCTCTGCCAAAGTGAGAAATTGCTGGGAAAATTAAGAAGCAGGAAATTTCATCCCCACCCCCCAATTATGTAGATGAACAGGAAGAGAGAGATGATAACTTATGAGCATAACCTAATATTTTGAGTTTTTCTTGGAAGCTCAGTAGAAGTCATTTAGTCTTTCATTCCCACATGTCTTTAAGATCTGAACCATCTATTTACATTTGGTTTAAAATTTATTAATGTAACTAATATAGCGATACATATATACTATTATGAAAAATCTATTTTTAAATGTAAATCCAAAGAGTATAACCCATGTTTTTGAGTTAAGTATAGCAATTTAGATATTTGTTTTTTCAGTACTGGCTAGGAAAGAAAAAGATTTTACAGTAGTGAATCTAACCTATGAACATGGTGTGTCTGGGTGGAAGTGGAGGTCTTGGGACAGGCATCATTAGTGAGAACACTTTTCAGGGGCAGGGTAACATGGTTATAGCCAGACCTGGATTCCTGTCTGTTTTCTTCCACTCATTGCCTACGAACCTTAGACAAATTACTTAGCTCCCCTGATCTTCACTTTGTCAGTATAAAAAATGGGACCAAAAATACTGGTCTTATAAGATTGTCCTGGGATCTAAATTAATTATCCTATATAATGAAAGCCTAATATGCGAAGTATCCGACCATTTGTTCAACCGTTTGACCAGTTGCTATGATGCACACTGATCACCGGGGGCAGATGCTCTGACTGGTGAGTTAGCTTGCTGCTGGGGTCTGGCCTATCAGGACTGGGCGAGATGGGCCAGACATGCCCTGGAGCCCTCCCGTGGTCCCTCCCCAGCCAGCTGGCCCCGATCGGGACTGGGCAAAATGGGCTGGACATGCTTTGGAGCCCTGCCGTGATCCCTCCGCAGCCCCGATTGTGCACTGGTGTGGTCCGTCAGCCTGGCCTGTGGGAATCAGGCTGAAACTGGCTCTCTTACATCCCCTGAGGGGTCCCGGATTGCGAGAGGGCGCAGGCCAGGCCAAGGGACCCCACCGGTACACAAATCTTCGCACCGGGTCTCTAGTTATATATACAGTACTCAGCCCAGTGCTTAGCACATGGCAAATACTCAATAAATAATGAATCACATTACTATTCTGATAAATGAAAAAAGGTGAGTGCTACTATAGGTAAGTTGTAAGGGAGGTTGAAGGAAAAGACATACTATGGCCTATGTGTTTTGTTTTTTTATCGGTAAAGATGGGTCTTGGAGTTGATAGGTGTAGAGATCTAGAGATCTAGAGAAAAAAGAAGTTACTGCTTATAGCTACTGTAGAAAGTATAAGATGGAAGAGCCTAGAGACAGAAATGATTTTTTCAATTGACCGTGGGATCCCAGCTGAAGTTGGAGCCATATAGTTTGCAGTAAAGCCAAATAGTATACCTGTGTGAATTTTTTCCACAATACTGGAGACCCAGGGTGAAACAATAAATTAAGAGGATGGGACACCTAACTTCGACTTGTATTCAGACTAATGCATTAACATACCAGGTCACTTGTACCCACTTAATTGTTTGCACGAATACACATTAACTTATGCATACGTGCAAACATGTTTCCTTATTATACAGGTGAATTTTATGTGTTATTCTCTTTTACTATTTAGCATCCTTAGCAGTATCTTTATTTGACTCCTGGGCTAATAGGAGTGTGGCTACAAGCAAATAAAGATTGAAGTGGTATCTTAGCATCAATTTGAGAATTTTCAGCAATTATATCTAAAAAATAATTATTACAATTTTTACAGTAGTGATCAGATTAAGACATACAGAAGATCAGACTGATTAATCAGCTTCTTAGATTTTGATGCTGTTGAAAGACTAACTCACCTTTTGTGCCAGATGGGTCAAAGCTTCTGTTTTCTTATTGTTTGGATGTCATAAAAATAAATTGTTTTCTGCCTAACTGGAAGATTAGTTTTCTCAGAAAAAAATGAATTGCCTGTAGACGATTGAAAAAGTTGGCATGTTTTAGCACTCCAGTGTTATAATACATTCTATGCTGGGAAGAATGTCATCTGGTTTCATGAGGAAAGGGGAATACATTTTTTGAAGATATCATTAAAGATTAGATTTTTTAAAATAATATTATTGAGATATAATTCAGATACCATTAAATTCACCCATTTAAAGTATACAATTCAATACCTTTTAGTGTATTCTCAGAGCTGTGTAGCCATCACCATTTTCAAATTTAGAGCATTTTCATTACCCAAAAAAGATAATTTCCCCCCTTTGGTTGTCTCCCAGCTCCTCCCAGCTCTGGGCAACCATTATTCTACTTTTTGTCTCCATAGATTTCTTATTCTGAATATTTCATCTATCAATATATGTGGTCCTTTGTGACTGTCTTCTTTCACTTAGCATTTTTTCAAGGTTCATCCGTGTTGTAGCATGTGTTAGTATTTCATTTCTTTTTATTGGCAAATAATGTAGATGTACCACATTTTGTTTATTCTTTCATTAGTTGATAGACATTTGAGTTGTTTCCACTTTTTGGCCATTATAAATAATCCTGTGAACATTTGTAGACCTATGTTTTCAGTTCTCTTGGCTGTAATCTAGGAGTGGAATTGCTAGGTCATATGGTAACTAAGCTTAGCCTTTTGAGGAAATGCCACACTCTCCTAGAAAGGGTTACATATTTCCACTTAGCAGTGTATGAAAATTCTAGTTTTTCCATATCCTACTAAATACTAGATATGATAGTGTTTATAAAGATGGCAGAAGTAATTCAGTAGTTAATAATCCTATATAATAAAGAGGTGATATGCAAATTGACCATCACTCCAACACACAAGATGGCCGCCCCCATGTGGGCACAAGATGGCCATCAGGGGAGGGCAGTGTGGGCTATCAGACCATCAGGGGAGAGTAGTTGGGAGGACCCAGGCCTGCAGGGGAGGGCAGTTGAGGGGGACCAGGCCGGCAGGGGAGGGCAGTTAGGGGTGACCAGGCTGGCAAGGGAGGGCAGTTAGGAGTGACCAGGACGGCAGGGGAGGGCAGTTAGGGGCAACGGGCCAGCAGGGGAGCAGTTAGGCGTCGATCAGGCAGGCAGGGGAGTGGGTAGGGGGTGATCAGGCTGGCAGGCAGGTGAGCAGTTGGGAGCCAGCAGTCCTATATTGTGAGAGGGCAGTCGGACATCCCTCGAGGGGTCCCAGATTGGAGAGGGTGCAGGCTGGGCTGAAGGACACCCCCCAACCCTGTGCACAAATTTTGTGCACCAGGCCTCTAGTAATGATATAAAGTTTTATCACTGGTTGCCTTTTTCTGTGCATAGATATATATATCTATGTGTGTATATATATTGATTTTAGAGAGAGAGGAAGAGAAGGGAGAGAGAGATAGAAAAATTGATAAGAAACATGGATGGGCTGCCTCCCTCAAGCCTGCAACTGGGGATTGAGCCTGGGAATTGAACTGGTGACCTTCTGGTTCATGAGTTAATGCTCAACCACTGAGCCACACGAGCCTAGCTCTGTGCTAATATTTTTTAATCTTGCTTATTGAACATAGTGAAATGTACTCACTACACCTCAAGCGAGAAAGGTTCTCTCTCTTTTTTTTTTAATTGCTGAGGTAAAACCTTGCATGTAACAGCCCCTCAATAAATATATGTTAAAGTGAAT